CTCTTATACACAGATAGATAGATAGATAGATAGATAGATAGATAGATAGATAGATAGATAGATAGATAGATAGATAGATAGATAGATAGATAGATAGATAGATAGATAGATAGATAGATAGATAAATAAATAAATAAATACAATGATAAGATTTATAAAGCGCACAAATCCACTGCAGTAGTGCTCAAGGCGCTACAGGAAGGAACAACAAATTACCATGAACCTGAAGCTACAAGAAAAGAAAAAACATTAATGTAAATGTCTATGAATATTGTATGTTTTATTATTATCGTTTAGTGTCTGGTAAAATAAATTAAGTTTGTCATTAGTACTAAAGATTATAATAAATGATAAAATGTTTTATTGCAAAAAAAAAAAATGTGATTTTAGAGGTAAAAGGTGCACAGTTTAGTAAGATAAAAGGGATATTAGAAAAAGGAATTCCATAATAAGAGAAATAAATAACACGTTCGTATTTAGAAATCATAGTGTAAATAAATGATCGCTCATTCTAAGGTATGATATGTACCTTGTGTGGTACAAGGACAAGGGTTAGACAATAGTAGGAATAACAACAAAAAGAAATCCATATAGGGCCTATTTGTTCCGGTAATGCTAGAATGAAAAGTGATAAATTGTTACGCCCTTTTTACTCCCAGCTGAAAATCATTGATCGAAACACTGGTGGATCGATATCAGAATAGTGTAAGTGATAGATCAGTCATTATATGATCTGTACATTGTGTGGTAGAATGACAAATGTTAAACAACAGTAGGATAATAACAAAAAGAAATCTATATATTTGTTAATGGTTACGCTCTCTCTACTCCCAACAGGAAATCATTGATCAATACACTGCTGGATCGATATCAGAATATTGAAGTAATAGAGATCTTGTTTTTTAATGTGTAGGCATGTGTTGTTTTTTATTTCTCATGTTATTACAGAATTACATGATTATTCTGATAATATGCTCATTGAGCCTCTGACATCAGACCAAAATATAGCTCTTGTTATTAATTATTATTGATTTAGCTATTCAATTTGTTATTCAATTGATGTTATACAATTACGACCAAATGTAAATTGTATGACAGTAAATATTACTATATATTAGGAACTATTTAAAAAAAAACACTGTGGAATTTGGTCTGAAAAGGGAACATGCCTCACTTTTGGTTACCCATATCAATTAGTGAAACAATACCGAAGAAACAAAATGAAGAAAAATGAAAATAAATAAATGAAGTAAATAAAAACTAACAAAAAAAAAATGTTAGGCCTAGGCCCTAAAAATAAAATTGTTATTAGTCTACTTAACAAAATGTTCATACGGCGTTTAAGTATTTACACGCAGAAAGACACTGAGGGCTCACGTGTGTCAACATAAGCAGCGATCAGCGAAAATTGGGACATTGTTGAACAATTTCGATCGTAGCTAAGGCTGCTAATTAACGTGTTACGATATGCACATTATATCCGAAATTCAACCAATCGCCATCTGCTATTTTTGATCAACAGGAAACATTCAATACTCAACGATGCTGAATTATACGCTCTTAGTATGCTGAATTAAATACTCTAAATAGTTTAGTTGACTTAATACAATAAAGTATTTACACTATTGATGTGAACACCAATGGTCGCACCAGAATTTGCCCGGGAGGCGCGGAATGTGATGTTCCCGGCGAGATAGGGACAATTCTCTACAGACTGTTTTCAGCTCCCTGACAGATGATCTGGATTAGTAGAACGCTTCTGAGCAATTCTGTCCAGCATGACTGTCTTGAATTCTGAGTCCTGTTATTTTAAAATTATTTTGTAATGTGATTGAATAATGCAATATTGGAAAAATAAAATAAATTAAATTAAATTAAATGTCCCCGACTAGAGCGTAAGCGAACAGGGCCAGATCCTCCCAAAACCACTCGGAGGGAATATAGTCTAGAGAACAATCTCCGGAAACTCTGACAATTAGGATTTCAAAGAATTATTTAATTGATTTTAGAGATAACTAGTTAAATTTACTAAGGGTTGTGGGGCTCTACCTTATAGCACAATCGCTGGTGAAAACTGTATAATAACATCATTCATCAATCAAAGTCAAGTAAAAACTTGTGACAATCGAGGACCTACGATCCATGTACAAAGGCCGGGGTGGGGGAGTGACCTATGGTGAGATAAACCGGTTGGGGGATTTTTTTTTTTTTTTGTGGTCTAGGGGATATGGCTTTTGAAAGCTTCTGAAAATAAATCATTTTGATATCTTATCTTAATTATTTCGCACTAAGAGATTTTTTGGCCACTGCCGCCGGAAAGAGAGGCTTTCTTCACCCCTTCATCCTCCCCAAATATCACTCAATAATCAAGAGAACAGAATAAATGTGTTTCAATCAATAAGTTACACTTCTGTTACAACCCAGAAAAAAAAAACGAATGTTCATATTCAATTACAATAAATCACCAAGGATAGTGCAAGACACCTAAAATAATGCTTATTTCCAGTGTGGTTTTTGCACTGAGTTCATTACATAAGAAACAGATTATTCTTTTAAAATTTATGAATATAAAAACAGTGTTTATTTCGCCGACATAATGCCTTTTCGTTTACAATCTATTACCAATAAATATGTTGTTAGCAAATGGGAATAATAAGATAAGAATTGTACTTACACACTAAAAGACGTCGGTGACTCTCTTGTGCCATTTTAAATGTTAGGTAGCATTACAATTAGGAAAACATTTCTTTAGCATTTAATATACTTTATCGAGCATATCTACGTTACCGGTATTGAAAGTGTTTGTAATTCAACCAACCACGAAGTAAAACGTCAGCAATCGAATCTACTAAATTAATGATCAATAGCAAGAAACTAATAACCTCCATGCTAATAACAACCCCGTTTTCACAGTGAAAGATAGTTAGGCCTAGATATTTTCTAGAAAATGTTGAATTGAAATTCATATAAATAGGCCTAAGTGAATACTTTACACTTTACAGTACTACCAACTAATGAAATTGGACTAATTAGAATGCTTGAGTTTAAAAGTCACGTGTATGATTTAAATGACACGACTCAGCATAAAGTTACATGAATATAGATGACTCAAACGCCAAATTATAATAAGTGGCAACAATAGTGAGTGTGGTGTGAAATTATCAAGGGCGCAGATATGTTTTGAAATGTGGGGGTGAGACATTTCGTGAGACCTCACCCACCTCAGTCCCACCATGGCTGAGGTTGAGGTGCGAACATTTGAGGAAATAGTACCTCTAAATGACCGGAAATGACACTCTTATATAGTAAAATTCATTATCATCACATGACCATTTTTCTCATGATTTTTTATCAGCGATTTTCTGCAACCATAGAGATCAAAGTAATATGTGTGATGTCTCATAGAAAATAAAACCTATAAAAACATTGTTTTTTTATGTAAATTCTTTACTTTACCTACTTCAAAGTCGTGAGCCCACACCCACAGCCCCACTATGGTTGGGGCTAAGGTTCGAAAATTGCAGGAAATAGTACTCTAGATGGCCGGAAATGATACTCTTATATAGTGAAATTCGTTATCATCACATGACCATTATAGTCAAAATGAAGCACCAACATATTTCTCATTATCTTTTATCAGCAATCAGAGATCTAAATAACCTGTGTGTTGTACCATGTCGGGCGGATTCCGGGAAATATGACAATTTTATAAAGTCATCATCATAACATCACCATGATCTTTTATCAGCGATTTTCGACTATCATAGAGATCTAATTAATTTCTACTGCACCATAGAAAATAAAACTTAATTGTCTTTTTACTTCACTTTACACCTACTTCGTGTGCCGAAAATCTTATACTTGTTCTCATACTTCTCAAATTATAACAAAAACAAGCGAGCTTGAGCCGTGTATACCGGTATCTTGCTATAATATATAAGGTGTCCAGTACGTCTATGTGTACTCAGGCTGTACAGCGCGTTTTCGTTATAACCTGGGTCACTTATGCGTTTTATTTAATGAAAGATCAATACACAACCTGTGGAGGCAAGATAGCCACATAGTCGTTTAACTAGTGGCTAGTATCGAAACCGGCCCTGTGCAAGAGGCAGGAACCATACTAATTAGTCAAACACAGCTCTTTATTTTGACAACCTTTAGACATCATCTTTACTTATGAAATTACATTGCGGTCGCCCCCCCCCCCCTAAAATATAAGGTAGGGGAGACGTGTCCCCCGTCCCCCATGATCTGCGCCCATGGAAATTATGATCTCGTGGGTTAAAATACAACCACCCTGTAAACATTTGCACAGATGGTGTGTGTGAAGAATGAAAAACGTTAGAACATTTGCTCCAGCGATTTTCAATGTACCTACATTAAAGAGCAGTTTTAAACAGTGGCGGCGAGAACGCGACAGGGGCCCGTGATAACTAGGTAAAAAATAATAAATAACATAAAATATAAAAATAAATTGTAAATATAAAACTGACCGTTTATCGATGAAAGCTGGTGATTAATCGCTTCTAATTCTTTTTCATGAATATTTTTTTTCTGATTTCTGTTACTCTAGAGTTTATGTTTAATTAATTGATTAAAATAAAATAAATTAATATATACATTTATGCAGTAATGCATGTATTTTTCTAACGGGATATATATATATACACACACATATATATATATATATATATATATATATATATAAATGAATGGATCAATGATAAATGGTTTTCATTTCATTTATTTCGTTCAAAAACATTAAAATTGACAAACACAATAATAATAACAGATAGTAAAATCAACACTCAGTTTGCCGGTCAGTCAAAGTCAAAAACAAGTTCATCTCGAGGACATCAACGGAAAGTTATTACAAACGTGAAATTAAAAATTATTAGTATAAGTACGTATGAATTTCAGATGGTCAGTGTGTCTAGTATTAAAATGGGTAAAATCTTGTCAAGGAAATGAGTATAAATTATAGAAATTTTGCAACAAAAGCCATGCAGATACACCCGGTTTCAACAGATGTTAAATGTGTAATAAGACATTGTGTGTATGGGATATCACGTGAGACACACGCCCTTGTCATTCTGTGTTGGATTGCTTCAAGAGAAGAAATATGATCTGTCCAATAATCAATAAGTAATTATTAAAAGGCATAAAAACATAATTTAATCGTTTGGTACAGTTGTTATGTTATTACAACCAGGGGGCATTATAGTCTGACTGAACTTTCCTCTCTTTTGAAATTAATGGAATATTATGCCCACGGCCAGTGAGCTTGATATAAATTGCATACATTTTACAATTAATTTCAATAGACCTTTCCGGGGTGTTAATCAAACTTAACAACTGACTAATCAGAACAACACTAGGGATACGCGCGCGTCTCACAAACACACGTGTTGTACCACAAACGCACGTGTTTGCGTATGTTTTAACATTGTCGTCTTGTGGGACTTTAGCAACAATATCCAATGGGCGGGGCTTAGCGGAAAGGTCCATTGTGACGTGACAACCTGATTGAACATAACTCAGTTTCATTTGAGAATCTAAGCAATAGTTCAAATTGACGAATGTGATCATTCACAATGCTCCAACCTGTTTCAAAACGTAAGTATTCGTTAAATGTCTTCAAGATTAAGACTCTAAATTATTGGTGTTTATTACGATTTGCGTTTTCAATAGATTGGATATCGTTGTTTTAATGAAATCGTGTGCCACCATAAGTATCAAAATATCTATTTTCGTTATATCTCAATAATAAAGATAATGGTAATGGTAGGGTGAATTGTAGTGGTTGTGGGCTTAATAGCACATTATACGACATCTCTATATTCTTTGTACAGTATTTCATCGAATATTGCAGAAACAAATACTATTTCTATAAAAAAAAAGTTTATGGCCAAAGATAAAAGACTACTACTGTGTTTAAAAGTTTGTTGTCCAAATATATATATTTTTTTATGCAAATTAAATACCTACTTACATTTTTTTTTTGTAAAAAATTTATTTTAACCATGTTTTTTCACTACTTTTTCTCTTTACTCTCCTTACTCTCGTTTTTTTTTCTTCTATATTCTTTTATAGTGAGACATTTTGCAATGGACCTTTCAGCAGTGTTAATCAAACTTAAAACTGACCAATCAGAACAGGACCAGGAATATGAGCGTGCCTCACAATCACACGCGTTTTTCCATACTCGCATTTGTTTAAGTACCGTTTTATAGGACCTTAGCAATAGGGAGCTTTCAGTGGTACGACGACGGTAGGACGAGAACATAGGACGATAGGTATGATGGTCACGCATGAGTGATCGAAAGCTCCCTAAAGGTCGGTTCCCACTGAACGCGATCAAGCGAATTTCGCGTCGAAATGTGGCGCGCGCGGCTGAATCGAAGACGCGACTGGCGTTTCCAATGTGAACATGCAAACGAATTTGTAGTCGAACAGGCGAACGCCCAATATTCGAACTTCGACGCGGTGCGCGTGGTAGTCGCGGAGGCTTCGCCTGCGAATAGACCTTTCCGGGCTGTCAATCAAACTTCCAAGTAACCAATCAGAACAAGGCATATACGCGCTGTTTAAAAACACGTTTTCCACACAAACACACACGAGTTACGAGTTTGTGCAGAGCGAGAAGCGACGTCGATGATATGACTATCCAGTAGGAAACCTTTACCATGAAGCCAAAAAAAGAGAAAAAAAAATGCCTAGGCCTACTGTCAGTGGAATATGGCTTGTGGAAGACGGCATGTCCTATATTTCAACAGGGTAAACAAGCATACAGCTCAACGATAGGATTTCATTTATTTAAGTTAAGTGAGGCCTACAAAAATAATCGGGTCGCGTCGGGGTTGGCCTAGCCATAGGCCTATTCCGATGTCGATCTTCTCCAATGCCTAGGCCTACATTTTAAGATATTCGACCTCAGCTGCTGCATTCCGGGATGGATCCCGCCTGATCTCAGGACATAGGGCCTGGTATTAATTTTTCTAATAAATTGTGATCTATAAATACATTGAGGAAAATATTCAACAGTAAATGACAATGCAGGCCTTACCTAGGCAGCTTAGATTAGGCCAATGTAGGCCCTAAAATGTATTTAAATCCTTAGCCTAGCTGCCTCTAATATGCATGAAATTTTTGTGTTTCGTGCAAATCATTAATAAATATAATATATATACTTTTTTTTCATAGCATTTGTTATTGGAAACTATTGAATATCCTGACCCAGTAAATGCAGATGGAACAGTACCAACTGTGCGTAGACGTCCCCTACCAGAAATAGAGAAACCAAAACAAAATATCACAGAATGTAAGTTAGGATAGTCATGAGTAGATTTTTCATATGATTAAAAAACGGTAACTGTAGACCTACAGGATTTGGTATACAGGAGTTGGTGCTGAAGTTTGTTACCACTTGTATTGTAAACTTGAATATTATTAAGAAAAGTAAATGAAGAGAATAATGTTGGCAGCATGTGCAATATAAAAAAAAATCAATTGTAAAAATAAAGAATAACAATTTTAATAGATGCATAAGTTATGCATCTTTTAAAATAATGTTCTCAATGTTATGATAACATTGAGAACATTATTACAACTATTACTAAATTAATTATAAAGCAATATATTTGAAATATAAAATTATATTACTTGTTTATCAATCTAGTTTTTATTTATATAGTGCTGTATGTATTATTAAAAGGTTGCTGATACATTAAAGGTAAATAAATCCTTTTA